AAAAAAGAAATTTAGCCGATGAATGTAGAAAAACTATCATTCCTATGTTTAATCGAATAATAAAACTGCAGGTATCGCTCTTTTTACAGTGCATTTTTATGAAGATATTTTGACATAGAAAACACTTATCTGTAGTACTAAGTAAAATATTTATAAGTATCTATTATTCATTGCTTTTAGGTGCTTTCATATAGATAGTAGATGGAACAAGCTAAAAAATACATGAAATCTCATGTATGGAATGAATAAGTAATTAAGAATGTTAGTTGTTTTCATAAATAATGAAGCTTTAAAAATGAACAAAATTATTATGTGAGAAAAAATAACTTCGAGCAAACAACATGTTGAGAATATGTTAATCAATAAAAACCCGTGAGGCTTTAATCTCAAATGACTTCATGTGCACCCAGACAACATGCAATAGCTTCAGAGCTTTATTAATCATTTCCATTAATAATTGCTTCAATAAGTATTTCATTCCATTAGATAAAATGAGTTTTTACGTGACATATGATTCTTCAACGAAGGAAAAGATGAACTCGAAAAATAATTAACAAAGAACTCGTACGAGAATTATCTTTTTATCTACCAAATAGAAAAGAAAAATAACAAAATCTCGCAGTATAAACGTTAGACTTTAGACAATGTGTTTTTTACTATCAAGAATTTCATTGTGTGAAAAATCAATAGAGATTGAAAACAATGAAGGAATTTTCGGGATAGTATTATCATGAAAAGAACTAATCTAATCTATCTATAAGATTTCTATTTATAATCTTATATTTGACTGTAAATTGATTGTATAATGGATATACAAAAATAAATACTGTATTTCATAATTAAGATTCATTTTCTTTGATTGCGCATATTAATCATGATTAATACTCAATCAAGATAATTCATGAATACAAACTAATATTAACAAAAGAGCAAATTGTTTCCTATACAAAAACTTATTTTTTCAAGGTTGAAAGTATTTTTTATGTCATATAAATAGTAATTGACTGCAGATTTTTAGACTAAGAATGAATAATTACAAGTTAAATATAGATATATGGGTAGGATCTTTCTAATCAGCATAGTTTTCAGTATATAGAATTACGGCGAGGTACTCAAACAAAAAGAATTTACAGTATATAACTCTGTTTCGTACAGCATTTCCGATGTTAATTGTAATTATGTAGAAGCATTAGTTAATAAATATTATGCGAAATATACATCAAGATGTTATTGTGACTATTGAGACGAGATTTTCTATATTCTTGCTCATGTACATGAGCTTCTGCTTTCAGAATTTAAGTTTATAATAAAGCGTTTAGTTTTCATAGACTTTAGTAATCGAGATAAAGAAAAATAATTTCTAAATATAAGTCCTTCTTTTGACAGTCAAAATATTACTGAATGATATAAATAACAAAGTTTAAAATACTCTAGATGATTTCAATAACTTATAATCCATTACAAATATAATGGATGTTATATCATAGATATACTAGTCAATTAAACCAATAATTAGAAGAAAAAATATTTATTTACAATATAAAAATTACTAAGACGAATCGTATCCATTGACGAGCAATTATGTTAGAGAAATAATTGTCTTCGATTAGGAATTTTTGCTTTACTTATTTTATATTATAATAATAATATTGAAGAAGATATATGAATTCAATACGTTAGTCTTATAAGAGAATTTTTTTGACAAGCTTTTCCTAATGAAGTATTTCAAGTCCATATTATATCAGGTTTCAGTATCTTAGTTTCATCTAGAAGAAACTATAGGATGTCTAATCATAGTTTTGAGCAGAAATGGCGTTCTAAATGAGCAAATAGGAGTGTAATACAAAACTATTTAAAAACAAAGTTTTTTTTTATGAAGCTCAATCTTACAAAGAACATGAGAAATATTGTAAAGGAAATTTTCTTTTTAGTAATCTAAATGAGCAAAAAGAAAGACGAAGATAATAATTAGTATTTTCTTCATTTTTCAGTTAATATCCTATATATATATACGGATTTTCTGATGTATATGCTTCGATGAACTGTAATAATCAATTTTTATTCAAAATATAATTAGCATAGCAAACTAGAAATAGTTTTTTCGAATCAAATTTCATAATAATAATGTTTGAGTGTACAATTTACTGTTAATGACTGAACTCAGTTTATTATTGCTCTAATGTATATAATAAAAAGGCAAATCGGACAGAATAATATAGAGTGTAAAACACTTCTATTCTATTTATAAAGATTTAGTTACTTCTTTAATTATACATTTCAAGTGCATTTTTTTTTACTTTAAGTATTTGGGAGTGTTTTACCATCATTAATAACAATAATAAGTAATATCATATCTGTATATCGAGTACGTCAAACAAATCGTCTTGCATCAAGTTTTATATTACCATGTCGTCGTCGAACAGATGATACTCGTCGGGTTTTACTTGTTATTACCGTTGAATGTTTATTTGCTATTATAAATTCATGGTTTAGTGATATATTTCTTTCACTTATTTATTGTAAGAGAAAATTATATGCTGATGATGATTGTCCAGAGTTTTTAAAAAAAAGTTATACATTATTAATTATGTCTGATATGTTTAATTCTGTATCAAATATTATTATACATTGCTTATGTGGTAAACATTTTCGAAATGAATTATATCATATGTTTCAACCAATTTATCAAATAATAAAAGTTTGCTTTCAAAATATATGCTGTTGTTATCTTCAAATACATTTTCGACGACATAATCGAAATCCTCAAATATATTATAATGCTTCTATAACAACAGATACTAATTTAGATAATTTAGATTCTGAATCTGTCTTTTTAGACATAGAACCATCACCAACATTAGTAAAAAATTCTTGTTGTTATTGTCGATGGTATTTTAATCGGCAACCATTAATATCTTCTCGACAATGTTTATCAAATATATCAAAAGAATGTTTACAAAAACATCGTATACCTTTTGGAAGTCAATATCAATCATTAACACAACGTACACATGATGCAAGTAATTCAATGAGACTTTATTTTCCACAAAAACAAGAAATAGTATCATCAGCAGTGAAAACAAAAAAATCGTGTTCATCATCTTCACGATAAACAATATTTTCATCGTTTTTATTTATTAAGTTTTTTGTTCCTCTTGCAATAAATTGTTTAAGCATAAAAAAAAGTATAGCGTGCATGCTCAAGTAATTTTTTCTTTTATAGTTGTCGCTCGAAGAATATAAATAAATGAATAAAGAAACAGTAACATATATTCATCAATCACTGTCAAGAAACCATTTCATACTGTAGAAGTAAATGGCAGCATTAAAACACAGAACGAGAAAAAATTTTTTTTATTCTTTAAAGTTTCTTTTTTAATATATGTTGAAGCCATATAGTATTCGATCTAGCTTTTCTCAGGTTTGTTCTAATTATAAATGGAAAATGTCGTTGATTCTTTTATATACTTTATATGATAAATTTATAAACAAGAATTCTTTCAATATCTCAAATTTTACATGAAAAAAATGGCCTTAATACAATTTAAAATGCTAGATAAAGAAATTTACAGGACTATTTTATACGAAGAAAAATATTTATCACCGAGTTTTCAGTTATAAAATAATTTTTCCCACCTACTAGTAGTTCTTCACATAAATCGGTTCCTTTTTGAAGTTAAAGAGCGCGTTTTGTTAATATTTTTTTAATCTACTAAACTAAAATGTATATAAAAACATATTGTATCGAGTGATTCAGTTGAATTATCTTGTTCGCTTTAAATATTCACATATCTATGTCAAACAACGAACAAACAATTCAATTTCCTGTTGCCCTTAAACCATTACTAACCGATTTTGTTGTTAATGTATTACGGGAACGAATTCCATCAGATCAATTATCTTCATATGCTGTTCAATATTTTTCTGAAAGACAAAATCTTAAATCATATATACCAACAAATGATGATCAGGAAGAACAAACAGGTATATTTTTAACTAATCAAATAAGTGGTATGTCTCAAAAAAGTGATGATAGTACAAACAATGAAAAACAACGACGAAAATCTGTTTGGGGTGGTTCACCGGTATAATAAACAAACAAATAATTGAATATATATATATATTTTATTTTTATTTAGGATCCAGATCGTGATTTAACAAATAAAGTTGTTATGAAAAGTCCTGATGTATTTGAAAAATTATGTAAAATGGTACAAGATACGGTTATATATGTTGGTGATGATCCATCACTTGTTAAACAATTCGTAAAATATTTAACACCAAAAAATGTTATTCAAAATGAAGAAATTATTCGACAAGGAGATGAAGGAGATTATTTCTATTGTATTGAATCTGGTAAATATGATGTACTTGTTAATGGAAAAAAAGTATCCGAACTTGATAATAAAGTAATTCATCAATAATTTATTTCAAAATTTATAAAATAAATTAATTTAGGGATGTTTTGGTGAAATTGCATTACTTTACAGGTATTCATATTTTTTAGACAGAGTACTGAGTATTATATAATTCTTTTAGTCAACCACGCACAGCTACTGTAACAGCTAGAACCGATGGAAAACTTTGGTTAATTGATCGAGATACATTTTCAACATTAACTGTATCATTTGCTATAAAACAACGTGAAAAATATTTAAAATTTCTTCATACAGTTAATTTTATTCAAATATTTTATTCACGTGGTTGGTTAAATGAAAATCGTTTAGAAGATTTAGCTGATGCACTTCGACCACGTTATTATTTAACAAATCAAATTATAATTGAACAAGGTGATATCGATGCATATGAAATGTTTTTTATTGAAAATGGTTCAGTTAAAGTAACACGAAAAGAAAAAGACGGAACAATACGTGAATTGAAAATACTTGGAACAGGAAAATGTTTTGGTGAATTAGCATTACTTGAAAATAAACCACGTTATGCAACAGTTACTGCACTTGAAAAATGTCGTTTAGCAACATTAGATGCTACATCATTTGAAAATTTACTTGGAATTGAATTAAAAACTAAACTAAAAGAATTTATTGATAAAGAATATGCTACAGGAACATTAGATGATAATACATCTCAAATAAAAAAATAAGAGAATTTCTTTTGTTTGTTTTCAGATTATTTTTTTCTAGTAGAAATAAATGTCAGAAAGATATCGAAAAAGGTAATATTTAAAATATTATTTTAAATTAACTTTCTTGTTACATTCAGACGTCCAAATGATTTAATGACTGTTAAAGAAGCGGCTCAGATTATTGAAAATGCTTGGTGTCGACATCGTGATAAACAAATGTTTCGATTGTTGAAACATGCTGTATGTGCAGCTGAACATGCTCTATCAGATAATATTCTTCGACGAATAGCACCACGTGAAGCTGAACTATTACGTGATCCTAGTATGAATGTAAAAGTGAAATTTCGGTAAGTATTTATTAACTATCGAAGAAATAGATGAATCATTATCTTTTTCTAGTTTTGGTGGCACGGAATTTCCTCCGGTGATTTATTTTAAAATCTATGTACGTAATTTTAATGGTGCTCTTCCAAAATATGTTCATGGTAAAAAAATAATTAATGCCGATATGAACGTATGTTTTAACTACAACATTAAATTAAACATATATTTATTGTTTTATGTAGAATAGGCTCGTGTAGCTGCATGTAAACAAATGGGAAATCGAAAATTTTATGAACAAATGCTTTCTGATTCATTGCATGGCTCTGATGGACGAGCATCACATGAAATTGATGTTGTTACATTAAAAGATTATATGCAAGTAAGGATTCAAAAAAAACAAGTATTCATTTTTTTCCTTTTAATTAATTATATCTTAGTATTCAAGTTTACTTGATGAATTACCATCATATCTTGGTGGAAGAGCAAATCATTGGCGACGGCTAAATCTTGAAGGTTAGTTTTTTGTTTTATTATCGATTCATTTCGTTATTTCTTTTCATTAGATATTCCAAGATACACAATCTTTTATGATATTATGAGTTATATGGAATCCGGTAATATCACATCTGATTTACGAGATAAACTACCTATTCTACTTATTCAACCCTATTCTTCATCTGTACAATTACAACATATCGAATTACTCAAACAGATTAAGTATAGATCAAAAAAAACATATTTTTATGATTATAATTCGATTATATAGATCAACACCAGTATCACGAACAAGTCGTACGAATTCTACATTTACAAAAAAAACATCACCAAGTGCACGTCGTTCTCGTCGTGCTGTTGAGAATGCATCAAAAATGCGTGAATCTTATTTAAAAACAGTATCGGAATCATTACCAACAACTTTAATTCTTCAATATGAACAACAAATAGCAACAAATACAACTGAAAATGACCAATTAAGCAGTGGAATTAATGATACATTTATGAGTAAAGATGAATTTAATGATGGTGAAGTTGATGCTCTTTATGCATGGACTGAAAAACTTCAATGGAATGATGATTTATTCAAAACAGATCGAATTCCAACAGCTTAACTAATAACAAATTTTCTTTTTCTCTTTACATATTTAATGCTTTCTATCATGTCTGAAATGAGATCAGAAAAAAATAATAATTTTACACTTGAATGTGCGAATTGAACAAATGAATGATTGATGTCATGCATAATATACAACAGCTCGTCTCCTTCCTTCTCAACGTCATATGAGATGAGTCGATTAGGCGATTAATTTAGTTACATAGAGAAGTGAAATAGGATCAAATATATAAAAAATCTAACCAATAGATATTCGAGTAAGAGAGAGAAAAAGAGTGGATTAGTCAAATAGATCAATTAGATTAATGTGTGAAATAACTGAATAATCTTTATCATATCTATCATTTGAAAATACGTAAGACAGTCAGTTAGATGTATGAAACTAACATGATTGAATATACAAATCGAAATAAAATGGAAGAAACAACTGCAAGAGTATTTGCTCGTTTACATCATATGAAAAGTGTATTATATAAAACAATTAAAAGTAAGAATATAGATCTTATCTTAAAACTATACAAGATTTGGTTTACATATCTTTATAAAAGATTAGTTTTGCACTATGTAGATATTTTACGATAGGAGAAGACAAATTCGTATAGGACTTTACTACTATATAGTAAAGATTGGTGAAAGTAGCACTTAACATACGAATTGAGAGTAAAATGAAACTGATACAATTCGATGAATGATATGTTTAAAGTAATGAAACATTATCTTCTTACAACGAGAATCGTTCGTTTCCTAGAGGTATATTCACGGCAGGAGATCAGTATGTTTAGCGAATCGATTATAACTAAATAAAATCAGTAAATGTTCTTTAGAAATCTATAATTTTTCTTTCTATTTTAGAAACACCTAAATTTTGTGGTGGTATTACAAATCGAAATGGTACATATTGTTCTCCAACAAGTTATATTTCCACGACAGATAATGATGATGATGATGACAACTTATATGATCCGACAATTACATTAACTAATGTAAGTTATTGTTTGAAAAAAAAATTCTACTATAGTATTTTTTTCTCTTTCTAATAGATTACATCTGATGATACGATTTCATCTATCAGTGGAGATTCATTAGATTCTGGTGTGTCTGCATTGAGTGACTTTTCACACTGTTCATTATTATCGTCAACATCATTGCTTCATCGTTCAGTGACACTACCACAATCATGTCATTTAAGGTGTGATCCATCCGTAATCAATTATGTTTCACATAATCTATTGACCACCGATTGTTCGGAATGTTTTCTTAATGAAATTGATGAATCATCATCTTCAACGCAATTACCATTAGCTGAAAGTAGTCGACGTTTTATTTATGAAAATGATCCAACTATTATTGCTGATGATGAAGATGAACAGATCGGTCCATTAACATCTACATTAGTCGATCGTTGGCATGTTGTAACGAAAAGTTATTCGGCAATATTTCGTCAAGATTTAACTGTACGAAAAAATGAATTAGTACAAGTGCTTCGTTGTACACATCCGCACTGGGTTTGGGTACGAAATGAAGAAAGTGAAGAAGGTTATGTACCACAAGATTGTCTCGCAACTTCATCATGATCGTTTAAATGAACTAAAAACATCTTTTTTTTAAACTCGTAAATTGTATAAACATGAAAAATAGTATATTATCGATGTTTTAAAATATATAAATTTGATTATTCAAATAGTTTTTTCTTCTGAATTTCTAGAAAATTAATAGAAAGTGACACCATTTATGATAAGGAAGAGAACTGAAAGACTGATCATGTTGATCAGATTATTCTACGGTTATCGATAGTAACTGTGTTACAATCAGTTCGGTGTCTATCATCTTTAGAATATGAATGGTTTGTAAGAAAGAAATATGAAAAGATAATCATTGTTATTCATATTATACCGTACTGCCTGCCTAAGAATATTGACGCGTTAGCAGGGGTGTCCCGAAGTCCAAAACATTGGGGGGCCGTCAATGAATTTCGCGAGATTTTTTTAAATGTCTCAAAAATATTCCAAGCATTTTTGTAATTTTGCAGAAATTTTGGAAGATTTTCAAGATTTTTTTAAAAAATATCTTCAATGTATCCACAATTTTCAAAAAATTTTCAGCATCTTCTGAGTTTTTTTTAGATTTTCAAGATGTTCAAAAAAATTTCAATGATTTTTTTTAAAGTATATAAAAAATTTTGAAATTTTTTCGAGATTTAAAAAAAATCGCGATGTTTCTTGCAAATTTTTTCATAAATTTCAAGATTATTTCTAAAACTTTCCGAAAATGTTCATAAACTGGTGAGCAAAAAAAACAAAATTTTCTAAGATTGGGGGGCTATCGCGGCCCCAAAGGCCCCCCATCTGGACACCCCTGCGCGTTAGTAGCCAGATGAGTTGATGATACAGTTATTGAAAAATTTTTGAAATCTATATGACCAGTTAAAATATTATTTGATCAATACTTTTCCCTATTTTTCTGTTACATGTTAGTAAATACTGATGAGAATGAAACAACAAAATATTACAATAAATTCGATCAATTTAATTGAACATCAATAAAGAGATGTTTCCACTTTAACATGATCATTTGTCACATATGTTAATATGTCATAATCAATTTTCATGTTATATAAAAATTCTTCTAGATATTCGTTATCACTACAGATAAAATTTAGTCAAATAAGATTCGATCATTTGATTTCCATCATTACAGATTCTATTGAGAAGTAAAAATGTTAGAAATAAATCAAATAAAAAATTTCATGCTCTAAACAACACACGTCAAAAACTGATTAATAATATCCACGCAATGTATAGAAAATAGTTTACTAAACGCTTATATTCAAGTTTTCTTTTAATCTTTTCGCCATGTGACTTCGTACGTGTTAATATATATATATCGAGATATATACACCCACGTTTATTACAGCACTATTTTTGTCTGTCCTTCGAAACAATAACGATCCTTCCTTTTTTTACAATGTCAAATGACGCATGCGTCTAGTAATTGCGTAAGTTATGTGTAATCGAAATATATAAAAGAACGGATGTGTTTGTTTTCGAATAAAGTAAAACGTCGATATGGCTGATGAAGGTTCTATTCAAAATTTAGAAGTTGAATGGCGTGATTTTTTAGTAGAATTTCATGCAAATACCGAAGAGGCTAAACAACGAATACAAAAAGTAAATAAATGACTTTTTTATGATAATATAAAATGTATATTATTTAAAGGTTGATCTTTTTCCTGATAAAAACATCGTTTGCTTTGTTCTTTATAAGACTTTTTCACCAGAAGAATGTCAATTTCTTATTGATTCAATAGAAAATATCGGTAATTATTTAATCGAAATATATTTTATTTGACTTTATAAAAAAATAGGTTTCAATAAACTTTTATACGGAGGAAATTATCGAACAAATACACGGTAAATATTTCATAAATTACAAAATAGAGTTTTTTTATTCATTTATATTTAGAACACAAATAGTTCAAAAATCGCTTGCAGATGAATTTTTATTTCGTGTACAAGGTATAATTTCTATTTAAATTAAAATATATATCTGAAATAAAATTTTTAGATTTTCTACCAAAACAATGGCCTGGAAAAGATAATACATCAAATTGGGATTTAATGAATCTTAATGAACAAATAAGAATTTGCAGGTATAATATGATAAGAATTTGAAAGTTAAAATACGGTATAATTCATGTAGATACGAACCTGGTCAATATTTTGCTCCTCATTTCGATGGAATCTACAAACGATCTTATCAAGAACAAAGTCAGTTGACAATTATGGCATATCTTAATGATTCATTTACTGGTGGTCATACAAATTTTCTTGATGAAACTACTAAACCACCTGCACTTACTCATGCATTAAAACCCGAAACTGGTATTTGGTTTTATTTCTAAAAAATTATCTTATTTTGATGAGAGCAAATTTTTTTAGGAATGGTTTTAATCTTTCAACATGAAATTTTTCATGAAGGTGAAGCCGTAATAACAGGGAAAAAGTATATTATGCGTAGGTAAGTAATTCAATAGATTAATTTTTAGTAGAGATCAATTCGTTTTTTTATAAATAGTGATGTTGTATATAAACGATTGTTAAGTGGACCAATGTCCAAAGAAGAACAAGAAGCAAGAGATTTACTTGCGGCAGCTGAACGTCATGAAGATCAATCAAATCATGAAGAAGCTACGAAATGTTATCGAAAAGCATTTAAATTATGGCCAGCTTTAGAAAAAGAATAAAATAAAAGACTAAATTTTTCATAGAAAATTATTCAACAATAAATTTAATAAATGTGAATTCTTATCTAACATTTGTCATTTATCTTTCGTTTTAAATAAATATTTTTTTTATTAGTTCTGTACATTTCTATTTGTTAGCTAATGACATAAGCAGTATATTTTATTTACCTTTGAATAGTGAACTATTTCATAGTGAGAGTATTTGAACAAAAAAAAAGAGATTTGTTTTTAGTTCTATCATAACTTATTTTCGTTTTTGGTATATTGACGTATAATACGTATTAAAAACAAAAATAATGCTTCGTCAGAGCATGCATCATTTATTTTGATAAATGAATATGTGCTTTAGTTTGAGTCATCGTTATACGTATGATGTTAGAAAACTAAAACAACACCACCACTGCAACGTGCTTGAGTATTATCAATCTCTAAAGATTACAGAAATAGATTCTTTTTATTATAATAAAAGTAAATACAATAAGAGAAGCACTTGTTAATTCAAAGGCATTCATCGTTCAGTTTAATATCGATGAAAAAGGTTCTATTTAGTTTGTTATTGTTTATAATGATCGTATTGAAGTAACGCATTCTGTCTGTATGTCTTCATTTTAATATTGATGGCATTGATGACCTTGTATTTGAAGGATTTTCTTCATGTATAGATTGAACATCATTACATGTTAGTAGTGATACAGGTACAATTCTTGTGAAGTCTCTTATTAAATACATTATGAAAATTCAATACTAGATAAAGAGAATCAAATTAACATGGTATTGAACAATAAACTAATCGTCAAAAACCAAAACGAGAAATAACACTAATTGTTCATATAGTAAATTAGAACAGTGATATTGCTTTGAAAATATTCTATTTAGTTATTAATTGTTCATGAAGTGCTAGATATATAATGTTCGTGATAATAGTATTGAAATATCATGATCAAAAATTCAACTTACATATTACATATAGACAAATTAAAAATCAACAGAATGGACCAGATGTATAGTTATCGTTGTCAATAACAGCCTCATGTTTTGCGATGCACTACCAAAATACCTTTCTCTAAATGAAGTGGAGCACCAAAATCTCGCTCATCAGCCATTGAGATCTCCCAGACTAGCTTTTCCCATGAATCCATTGTTGATGCCTATAATTCTAATTTAACTTATATAATTATACCAAAACTAGCAATAAATACACTTAATAAACAACTTCTAGCTGGATCAGCATCTGTATTTATATGTAGATAATTATTGTGTCACACATAGTTCGATTGATAATGTTTGTTCATATGATATTAGGTACAGATGTAAGTGTTAAAGTGGATTATAAACCAATAAAAAAAGTCACTGATATCCAAAGTTTTATTTCTAAAACATATCTTATTAATATGAAATTGACTAAAACTATCTTTAACATTCGATGAAAAGATTCGTAGCTAAATTAATATTATTTGATTTACAATTAAAAGAAAAAGATTCTGATTGTTACTTTACAAGCAAAAAGTGAATGTCACCTACCACATGAACATACTATTGAATAATGAAAAGATACAAATTTAACTTCGTATACCGATCGCTTTTATGATATATTATGCAATCAACTATATATATATATATATGTATGTTATAACCTAATAAAAAATAGATGTCTATCGTCTATTCTAGTAAATATAATGCTGTTTTGTATTCTAAGATAAAATATAAAATGTTGGATTCAAATTCAACTAGAGGTTTGAATAGGCAATGAAATATGCTATTCCGCGATGATTTATGTAGATAAAAGATTTTTTTAATAGCTAGAATTCATACTATAATAGAAATACTAATATTGAGCCTTATATATTATCACACATGTGAGAATAAAGTGATCAACTGATTTGTAGGTTATATGCGAATGTGGATGGTGCTTTACAGGTACCCGAAGATTGTGTAGAAACTATTTTTGAATAATTTATTTCAACGAACATAAGCTTTCGAACACAATAAATAGTCGTTGCATTTTAAACATGTTTCTTTACCATAATACTTTTCTAGAATTTTAATATTAGTTGCATTCAATATGATAGTTTATTCGTTGTTCAACTTTTGAGTTAGAAATTTATTATGACTAATAAATCGAAAAACATACTATTTCTATAATTTCTCATGTTACGATTGACTATCATCAGAATAATAAAGTACAATTAACAGAAATGATCAGATTTGAAACTTTGATACCGTAAATTCATAGTTTATCAACAAGTAAGAATACTATTTTTAATTCTAAACTAATTTTCAATCGTAGATTTTGGTGATTGACTTGTAAATATACATAATATAAATTCGTTATTTATTTTACAAATCTTTCTGAAAGACAGATTTCATAGTATCTATTTTCCATCGAATTTAATGTAAATTGATCATCATTTTTCAAGTATATTGAAAACGATTTTCAACCGTATGGTTTGAATTTTTTGTTCATAAATTTTAGATATAATTGACGTTAAAATAATACGATTTTAATGTTTCATCATTCAATCGAAAGATGAAAATGATTCAATCAATTGAATTTGTATCTATCATTATTCAATATTCACTAATAATTATGTAAACATAATTCAAATAATTGTGATTAAAACAATACTTGTTTAAAACACAAACATTCATAGAATTATTTTGCTCAGTGATTCTAGTTGATCAACAAAATTAGACTTAAAAGATTATCAAAACTACATTTTCTAAAATTATTTTAATTATTTTTTATTAATTTAAATTTAGCATGAATGTCATCAATATATTTTTCTATAATATTTTTTTGCTTCATTAAAAGACATGACCAGTGTATATTTCAATGACATCATATTATGTTTTCTGCTTTTTTCATTTCTCATATAATTACAATCCTTATCAACCCACGCGTCATCTTATTGCCGTCAAGCATTCACGCATAACGTCCGCCTGTACGTTTTTGTTACAGTATAGCATTTATGAAGAAAAAAAACCGATAGTTGCATGTTTCTCTCCTTTTTCATTTTTTTTTTCAAAGTATCTACCTCTAACATAACTATATTTAGGCATGCTTGAGCGAACTCGCATTGCCCATTATACATGTATGTATATGAATTGCCTTCGCGATTTGATTTTTTTTGTGTATAGGTGTGATATCATAGTCATGCTTTTTTTTTGGAGGTTTTTACCTTTTTTTCGTAATTTTTTTCTGTCCGTCCGATAGAACATATACTTTTGGTTTTTCTTTTTTCTTCGGGAAAGAGAGATATGTATGTATAAGTTGTTTTCTTTTTTTTCTCTTCTCTCCTCTTCTCTTTTTTTCGATCAACAAAACACAACAAAGACGAAAAGAGAGGACGAGAGAGAGAGAGAAAAAAACGTAAAGAGCGAGTGTATTGGACCGTGTTTAGGAAAGAAATATTGTACACAAGACTCATAAGGAATTGGTGTTAATGAGAAGGATTACAATACAAAAATTCCTTCTTTTCTTTTCTAGATTAAGTCGTAGATTGAACTTTTTTTGTGTATAATAGCATCATGTCTCTGCGACCTCGACCATACGCATCTGTTAATCGATATGCAGTGTAAGTTTATTTGAAATTTTAAATAATATTATACTAAAGAGTATAAATTTTTTAGGCGAAGACCAACATTTATTCCACGACCAGCTGTTGTAGGTCCCCGACCCGCCGCAGGCGGTGGCATGAATGGTTTAATCGGTGGCTTAGCTTGTCCATTACTCTGTCTTGGTTGTCTAGCCGCATTATCCTTACTTGGTCTTTTTGCTACAATGATAGCAGCTGCAGCATATATGAGTATGTGTATAACTGATTTTAATATAAAAGTGTATTTCAATTCCTTTCGTATTTTTATTAGATCAAATCCAAAAACAAATTCGTAAAAATGCTTCAGGTGATGGTACAATGGTAGAACTCAATTTTATGGTTCTTTTCAGTGCTCTTCTCTGCTCAGTTTATGTATTATGTAAACATCGTCGAAGTGTTGCTAGCACCTGAGTGGTGAACGAACTATAAAAAATCTATTTAAACGTCGTTATACACATTTGAATAAGAAAAACGCATATTTTTTTTTGCAACACAACTATATTTTTCCTTTTTTTTATATTTTGCGCGCCAGAAAAACAAGTCTTTTTTTTTTGAACAGGTACAATCAGTTTTAATATAAAAACGTCAATCGTCGTCGTCGTCGTTATTATTACTTTTTCTTGAAATATAAAATAAAAATGCTGCTAAATTGTTTTTATTATTACACACATATCTACATTTGTTTGACTGATTTTCTGTCGCTTGTCTATTTTTGTCTATGAATTATAAAAACGAAAGATAAACAACAAAAAAAAAGGCCTTTCTATCTATACATATATTGTTATTCTAACGGAGATTAGACCAAGAATTATGTCTAAAAAATTTGAATAAATACGAAAAAGAGGAAAAGATACACGTTCTGTTCATTAAAACCAAATCAAATTAATGATTCATTCATATTAATAAATTCAATTAACTAATTTGCTTAGACACAATACAGTTCGATATTTTTATTTAACATTTATCTATTGGATTTTTTTTTCGTGTTCTGTCGAAACATCTACGATCATCATATTTGAGTTTTGCTATCAAGGACAATTCTCATATACGTGCTTGTATATTTCATAGAAGAAAAAACCTGCCGTTCTTTTTCATACGCGCATGCGCGTTTACCCTGCTACGTTACGCATGATATATTTTTTTTTGCATTTTCTTTTTTTGTCATATGTATACATACATATTCATCATGAAATACGGAGGCTGATGTGCATAACTTGTTTCTCTCTTTTAAAAAGGTTTCTTTTTTGTCGTCGACGTAGGTAAAATACTTTTTTTTCTATCTTATAAGTCATGCACATTGATGAGAAATATATTAGTTCCTCTCTTGTACTAAACACGAAGGAAAAAAATGCCGTCAACCATGACGTGAGTGTATAGGGATGCGTCTCCTTCAGATGATAGAATATAGATAGAAGGAGAGAGAGGGAGAGAGAAGCAGAGTGTGAAGAAATACAGTGGCGTATTTTTTTCAAACAATAATAACTATCGAGTGCTATATACTTGTGCATGTATGAGAAAGGAAAAGAGAGTGCATATGAGAAGATTCAGTATTGGCTATTTGTTTTTTTTAAAAGAACAAAAAATATTTCTCTATTTTTTTAATAAATCATTAAACATTCCTATAGTTTTTTAGATCGCTGGCCATCCTAAAATAACAAGATGCAGAGACGGTAAGTGTCGTAGCTTCGATATTATTTTATTATAATTCATGTAAAATGTCTGTTACTTTAGACCAGTAGCAGTAGCTCGACCAATGGTACGCCCCGCAGCTGGCGGAGCCGGTAAAATGGGTGGATTATTGGGTGGCTTAGGTGGTGCTATCACTTGCCTCTGTTGTTTATCGGCACTCGGTTTAATTGGCCTTTGGGTAACATTTATCCCATTCGTTGCATTCTTTAGTAAGTTATTTTTTGACAAAAAATTTTTGTTCTCTAATTAATTTCTCTCGTTTTTTCTTCTATTAAAATAGAATATGCATATGATCAAGATGTAAGAGCCTATGGTGGTAGCCCAAGCATCCAAAATCTTCAACAAATTGTTTTACTTCTGGCAATTTGTCTATTATCAATTCGTTTTGTCAAACGGCAAATGAATACATAAATCCATAAATCAAAAAGACTCTAATTTTTTTTGCATATCGAACTACAGTCGTTATCGTCGTCATCGTTGTTTTTTTTGTCAAATTTAATCCACATGAAAATGTATATGCGCGCTAAATAAACACAAAGAAATAGAGAGAAGAGTCGTCGTCGTCGTCATTATCACCATCATTATTTTAAAACAATCCCAACACCACAAAGTTTTACTCTTTTTTTAAGTCTCTATCTCTCTACAATTTTTTTGTCTTTATTCTTTTTCTATATAATATTTTTTTTTTGTCTATTGAACAAAGCACGCGTCCACATATATTGATCTTTTTGTATTTATTCAAGCTACTAAAGTATAAGCCAACAGTCTCATAAAGAAAGAATTTTATTTTAAAACAAAAAAGTTTACAGGAGGATGAGAAACAATACTCCGAGGAAGTTCGATATTTAAAACTGAAAACACTAGCAGAAGATAATTGATGATTCACATGATGCTATCAAATATGTTTACAAATTATAAGAAATTGTTTTTTATCAGTATGAAATACGTTGAAATTTCAGTATCATTTATCGTCATAGATATTTGGCATATTGATCATATACAATAATAAACAAATAAACCATTTCAACTGTTGATTGTTTTTCATCAATACATGACATATTAGTTTTTTACAAGATGACGTTGTTTTTCTATTCAATTAACAAACTGTTTATGACACTGTTATCTAGATATGTTCATCAAACATATTGTTAACGAAAAGTACTGACAAGGAGAAAAAGGAAAATTTGTATATATTTTCAATAGAATTATAAAACATAATGTTGTAGGAATGCATAACAACATATTATAAACACGAGTTCGTCTCGCTAATATATGCTTCAAGTCAACTGATAGACGTTATTATAAATCGAGTTTTTAATTGTTACTTTCACAAACTATCAGTGGCGGATCTAGGAAGAGGGACGGGGTGATTATTTTTTTTTGAGTATGGAGGGGCGATTTTGGCTAAAAGCTATTTTTTGAGTCCAACCGAAGTGGTGTGAACCTATTTTTTCGTTCATTTTTACTGTAAAAAATCAAAAGAAAAATTCAGAAGGGGGAGGGCGATCGCCCCCCGAATCCGCCACTGCAAACTATTGTGTATTTTGAAGCATCTTAGAAAAGATTACATATCCAAGCAGACAAGAATTTGCAGAAACGCGCTTAAACGTTCAATCGGGAATCGCGATTGTATCTCATTCACGCTCGAAAAAAAATGTCGTTTTATCAATTTCTGGCGTTTTTTCCATATAATTCTAGTTTTTGAACGTTGAAACGTGTTTTTATTTCTGTAGTTTTCTGCAATCTGAAAGCAGTGCATTTTAACGCTCAAAAACCTGGATTTTTTGTCGCTTTCACGTTCAAAAACTAGAAATTATATGGAAAAAAAACGATAAAACGACGTTTTTTTTCGAGCGTGAATGAGATACAATCGCGGTTCCCGACTGAGCGTTTAAACGCGTTTCTCTAAATTCTTGTTTGCTTGGGTATCTATACCTAGGACAAACTGAACCTGTTATACGAAATGATACATTTCATACAGTATCTTTTAAGTATATATAACAAGCAACAGAACAGTATTGAACTCGATAGTAACAATTTATACATAATGTATATCAGGGTTTTTGCTGGATCATATTTAGATATCATCAATCCATATCAACATTCTCTATATCGGCTAGTCTATATAACTCATTGTTAGTTCATAAATACCACGACTATTTGAAATGAAACCTTTTTTTCAAACAAATATAATCCCTTATTTATTTTTCCCGATAAGTGATTTCGTTCATATTTTATCAGTTCTTAATAAGATTTTGATGGCAGAAAATCTTCATTAATTTTTGTAATTCTATCATATATTAATTAACAAGGATAATATTTGTAAATTAGTTTTTTTTTTTAAATTCAATACTTTTAACTATTGATGATTATGTATAGATCATATTACTAACATAATACAGATTCTTAGAAAAAAAAAAAATTAAGAATCAACAGTATCCTCTTATCGGAATTCATGGATTTTCTGGAATTAAAAGATGTATATTTGTTAATAGAACTATTGATGTAATTCTTCTGTATCTTATCTAAGAATATGTGTAAAAATGTCTTCTCTCTAAAAAAATGTATTAATGATATTATATCAGTATCGCATCATTTCAATCAAGAAAATACTTCGATCAGTAGCGACATCTATCAATAGTAAATTACATAAATCCAACGTAATATTTCAAAGAATTTCATATAAAATTTCCTACTTAGGTAAAAAGCTATATTTTTGATTTGGTCGTAGAATTTCATTGGAGAAAAATTACGCTACTATCGATGTTATATAAGTGATGTATATCACGAATAGTTAAATTGAAAATATACACATAAACACTCTACTATTGTGACTGCTTCTTCTATCTTAAATTATGTATCAACCAACGGTTCTTTATTATCTACGCAATGAATAATTGAAATCAAAACAATAAATTTAAATGTTTTTTTAACAAAATATTTCGAAATTTATTTTAGATGAATCCTTCACAACAACAACAACCTACAAATTCTAATAATAATAATCAATCACAAACACCTGTTAATCATCAATATGACGACTACGAAGATGATGTATCCTTGCACCAAACTTATCCGTATGTCAGACAACATTATTTAATTAAAAATCTATTTTTCTCAAAAAGATGACATTCATTAATTTCTAAATAGTTAACAGATAGAAGCAAACAAATAAGAAAGGTCATGAGAAAATATTAGAACAAAACTAGATTTTTAATATTCAGTAAATATTATTATTAAATAATGATAACTTCCAGCTGTTTCATAGAATATATTTTATAAGAATTGCATTTTAAAAAATGAATAATTCAAGTCGTAGAAATTTTTTCGTCTATATTACACTTGTAGAATAGAGTGTATTGCAAAAATTGAATAAATTCATTATAATTTTAATAAAAATTTTTATTTTGAAGAGTAGAATGAGATTTCATTCAATAACAAAATCCAAAAATAACTGATAGTTAACCATTCTTTAGTTGTTGAAGCGAATATTATATATGAAGAACATTTTTTTACTTTCATTAAAATCTGCATTGAATGTTATATGAAGCGATATGTCTGTCATTAGTTAATGACGGAGAAAGTCATTGTATATTATAAAAAAAACATGTTTGTGTCAAAAATATTAAACTACTTGAACGCATATAATATTTATTTATGGCTGCCTAGAAAGTTTGACGGCTTCTCTCGGCACTGAAAAGTTTTCTACAAATGTAATCAAAATATCAATTATATTTATATTGGATTTTACCGTTTGGAGTATTGTAGTGTACCACTCTGAATATAATTAGCAGACGATTTTTTAATGAAGAATTTTAAGAATTACAAAGGTATACACAACATTCATATAATCAATATTTTAAGTAGGAAAAAGTTAAGTTATTGGAGTATAGTAAGAAAAAAAGAGTTACCATGTTCTTTACTATATTAATATTCACTTATGTACTTTTAAGTTAGTTGGAAAGAATTTTTATGATATATAAGTACGTGATATTTGCATCTATTTAATTATATGTGAAAGTAACATGTTTTCTTTGACATAGTCATTGCAAAATTTAATTTCAGTATTGAGTTTCATTCCCTAGAAAATTATAACTTAAAAATTTGAATATTTGTTTTTTTCATAGTCCTAATTCTAATGATCAATCATCGAATATAAACAATAATGAATACTATGATCCTACTCAACAACAACAGTAAGAAAATTTATGTAATTAAATATCAAAAACTATATTTTTTTGTTTATAGATATCATGAGGATTATAGTGGATATAATTTGAATCCCGAAGACTATTTCGACGATTACGAATCAGATCCAGATGATGGTGAAACTCAAGTTGATCCAATAGAGAATATGCTAAGAGATGCAAGACCAGATGATCATAATGGAGATGTAGCTGTCTTCTCTGATGCTGTTCAAAATGCATTTGAAAATTATGAAAAAGAAGTATATATCCTGTAATACAATCTATTCAAATATTTATTTTGTATTTGTAGAATGCAAAACATTGGCATCATAATGATTCGGTATAGTTTAATATAATTTTATTCATTTATGTTTTTTTAATAAAGAAAGAAAAAAATTCTTTCTAGACATGGAATAATTTTTCCAATGACGAGGTAGTAAAACATGATATAAATTGCTTTTATATTGATGACAGCTTTATTTACTAAATAATAACCTATCGTCTATATTATTTCCATACATCTAAATATTTATTTTTCTCTTTATTAGCAAGATGAAATGTTTGAACAAATGCGTGAATGTATGCTTTTTATGTCACAAGAATATAGTACTGCTGAAATGCCAAATAATCTAGTAATTTTATTTCATAGAAAGAATTATTACAGGATGGTGTCATTTTTCCAATTATTTGTAGGTTGAACTAACACAAGAAAGTACATTAAATCCAGATGCGACAGAATTCCGCCCATCATGGTTGTCATCACCGGCACAAGTAACAACAACAACAACAAACGATACAGACTTTTTAGTAACGTCATGGGCACCCTGTACAGTCGAAAAACAAGAAAAAGACTCGATTAATTCTTAAGTATTTGTCTGTCTGCGTTTATTAAATCATTACTGAATTATATATAGACATAGACATAGATATATATATATATATATTTACTAAAAAAAATCCGTCTATCTATTCACTATATATATATTTTATGTTTCTATTTCATGCCGTTTGTTTACTGGGTTTTTTTCTCATTCTTACATTACTAAAGAAAAAGAACAGTATGTTGCCAATATAAAAGAAAAAGCTTTTGCATCGTCAAAAGACAAGTAAAGAAAAATTTATTAATGCTTATCAAGTTTGTGACCTTCAAAGTATTTTTTTTTGTCCGTCTTGCCGTAATATGTTTTCTTTTTCCTTTTCTCTAGCAGAGCAACGAGACAATGTAATGTTTCGGCGAAAATATTTCTTTTTCGAAACATTACTTTATCTTCTTACCTTTTTCTATTTTCTTTTTGTTCTGATTTAAGGATCAAGTTTGCTTTTCTTAAAGTTTTATGATGATAAAAAAAAAACCGAATAATTTTTTTTTGCAGCCTTAATTTTTGTATTTTTTATTTATTAATAGATTTTTATATTCGTCATACGATCATGTCGTCTATAGGTGTTACAAAACCGATGCGTAAAACTTCTTGTGATAAATTTGTTTCATCTAATGCAAGTAATATATCACTAGATGGAAGTGATACATTCATTCGTGCCAATGATATTAATCTAAATAGTAATTCTTATGCTAATACACCTTCTCCATCATCAATTACAACAATAAGTTCAATCGATCGATCATTTAAATATCGATCATCACGTTTAAAAAGTAAAATATTTTGTTTTTTTGAAATAAAAATATTTTCATCTTTATTTTGTCTTCTTAAAAAAAACTAGATGATTATCGTTCACATATGTTCTCAAAGCGTCGTTATAAACATGATAGATTATTTTATCATACACATGCACTTAATCGACAATATGTAGTAGCAATGACGAATATACTTTATCAGATGCAAAAAGAAATTGTTAAATTAAAACGACGTACAAATAGTATTGAACAAATGCTTAGTAAACAAACACGAGTAGTACATCCAATTATTCGGTTACCACGTTTAACACGTGGTAAGATATTTCAAAAAAACAAAAAAAATAAAACGTAAAAATTCACTATTTTTAGATGATATTTCGACAATATGCACCGACGATACTGAAAATCAACCATCGGTTAGTTCGGATGTTTTTCAAAACAATGAAAATGTACATACATCAGAAATGACAACACCAGGTAATATTGACATTTAAGAAAAACAAAACGCTACGTCATCTTGTCTTTGTTCTTTTATTAGATAACAATCATAAGGATGATAGTGAGGGCTCTATACTATTGAATACAGAATCTTCACCAAACAATCTTGAAATAAATAAACATTCTAATCAAAAAAATAAACATTGTTTTGAATGTCGGCATGAATTTTCAAATCGATCAGGTTATTTACGGCATATTAAAAATGTACATAAAGGAATATTTCCAACAGCATCGGAAAATGACACACCATTAGAAGTATTATTCATATAATTAATAATTCATTCGAATTTTTATTTTTTTATTTTTGCTAGAATGATAATCATCAAACTAAACCAACTGTTCGTTCATCGAGTAAATGAAATTAATTATAAAAATTATTATTATTATTTTTTTTTGTTTAGTTGATTATTTGGAAGTTGATCATAGAATAGAAAGTGATTCATTGAATTATTTAGTTAATCAATGGGATATTGGAGAAGGTCGTTTACGACCAAGATCAGTAACAAAACCAGTTATTATTACTGAGTCAGTACGAAAATTAAAATGTGATATTTGTAACAAATTCTTTCGTGCTGATTATCTTATGGTTTGTATATATCAACTATTAGATATCACATAGTCTATTTTACTAATTAAAATAATCATCTACGTATAACATTCTGAAATAATTACTTTTTGTTTCGAATATCAGATGTTATTCCTTTCTACTATATAAATTTCAAGGTAACTCGTACATTTTTAATGTAAAAACAATGAAAACATGTATTCTAACGATTATAATGTTCTCAATATTTGCAAAAAAAAATTCATATTCTTCTTAGTAAAGAAAAAAAAATGTCTGATTAGGTATTTGTTAATTACTGTCTATGATTATCATGTGTAGTTGTTTTAAGAATCCTTGCCATTGTATTAGTATATATATTAGAATAGTTCATAATCATCTAATCTTTAAATTTTCAATAGAAAATTTTTTTTTCAATTATTTCTTTAATGTTTTAGAAACATATGAGACGTACTCATCATATATCAGACCCACCTTTATCAAATGACTTATCTGATCAACATCAATCCAATATTGATAAACCTATTGATGAAATTCAATCAACATCTAATGAATCATTTGGAAATAATATAGATCCTCCATCGACAATCACAGTTACTGAAATGGATTTTGAAGATATACAAATTGATTTAGATGTATGTATTGTTATTAATATAAAATCTAATTAATTAAATTTTATTGTTTAGACAACTTTAGATAAATCAATTGTTATTACTACAACACTTCTTGAACAATATCAATCAGTAAATTAGTTAGCTTCTAAATTCAATATAAATTCTTAATTTTATTTTCTGATTTTAGAAAATGGTTGAAGAATTTTTAGAAAAATTTTCATATGAAGTTGGTCAAACAAGTACAGTTAATTCTGGAACAACACATTTAATAGTAAATGATGAGAAAACTCCGTCACGTTCTCCATTATCAATAAAATTAATCGAAGGTGTTGCTAATCATTGTTTTTGTGTTTCTTATAATTGGATTATTGCCTGTCTTCAATATGATCGAATTGTAGATGCAACTCGTTATGAAATTGAAGGTGATGATATGGATTTAAACGTTTTTGGTGGTCCAAAACGTTCTCGTTTAGCTGAAAGACGTCATGCACTTTTTGAAAATATATGTTTTATGATAAAATGTGCAGAAAATAAAGATGCACAATTAAGCAATGATCGTTTACAAGATTTAATAACAACATGTGGTGGACAAATTATAACTTGTGTTACACAAAAATTACTTCAAGATCATACAATTGTTGTTCTCTGTGATAAACTATATGTATCTGAACGACGTGCTAACTATAATCACTGTCGTTTCTTAGGTATAAATTTTATTTCATCGAATTGGGTTCTTGAATCAATTATTGAATATCGACAAAAACCTTTTTTATCGTACGAAGAAACGCCAATATAAATGATTTTAAAATTTTTTGTTTTTTGTACAAAATAGTTTTTTTTTTGTAAAAAATAATGAAAAAACAAACCAAGATACTTGCCATTATGAATGAACTGAATTATTTACGTTGCTTATTTGTTCATTCTTTTTCTCTCTTTTTTTTTGTTTTGGTAATAGATTATAATTTAAAAATATAATAAAAAGTATGACTACAACAGCAAGTTCATCATCAAATTTACCAGATAAAGATCAAATTCGTGTACACATTCGACGTGATGGATCAATTGAAAGACAACGATTTAATGGACGAGTTTGGAGACAATTGTGTAAATATGATGGTGGAGAGGAATGTCAAGCATTTGTTGCATATAGAAGTCTTTGTGTTGGACATTATCATCAAACATCAGGCATAACTGTTAATGAATCAAAACGTCGACAATTAATTCAACAATCAGCAGCAGCTGCTGCATCATCTAAAGCGACGACAACAACAACAACAACAACGACAGCAACAGCAACAATGATACCATCAAAACTTCGATATTGTTAGTCTATACATATATATATATCTTTATTATAATAATACAAAAATGAAATATTTCATTTTTTTTCTAGCAATTGAAACGCCTTTATCTCTTGGGCTTAAAAGTAAGTAAAAAAATTTCTTTATTTGAATTTTTTTTCTCTATTTTCATTGTGCAAATAGATTGGCGACGAAAAACAATGCAACCGAATTGTAAGTAATATAATGGTTGCTCAATTTTTTACTATAAAATAATATCGTAAACAGAAAAACTAAAAATAACAGACGAGGTCGTGACAGTTTTCTAATTACTACTTTGTATCTAAATCTATATCCTTCTACTTAGTTAATCTTTTTAAATATGGAATTATTCAAACGGAATAAACAAACCAATAAAAGCTTATGTTCTTTAGTTAGGTAGCACAACATGACGTATATATTTTTCATAGTAAATTATAACTAAAAGAAAAACAAGATTAACACATAGTCAATATTTATTAATTGCTCATGCGCAAAGTAGACATAACATAAAACGTATGAAATTGTGATAATACTCAATATAATTCATCGAGTTATATCCTACTGAAAATATTTTGTCTAGACTATAGCTTTAAATTCACTAATCTTCATTATGAAAAAAAATGATAATGCTCCATTTCATTTAAATCTTTATTAAAAAGAATTCATACTAATGACTGTTGAGACATTAGCTACAGTAAACTAATATTTAATGAAGCCTTTCCGCATTCATATTATGTCTGATAAATTAGTAAATATTATTTTATTCTAGTTACTATTTTGGGAAATGTTTTTTAAGAACATCATCGAGATTATTTGAGAGGTGCATAATGACCTTTAGTAAAAAATCTTCAAATAAATTGTCACACTCACACATGACAGTTCTATTGATGCTATTAAAAGTATATTTGAAGTGCCGACACTATTGAATATTTTTACATTTATCGATTCAAATTCCTATGAAATATAATAAATCATTTTTAAATGTACTTTTAAAAAAGTGTTTTATAACAGAAGCAGAATTGTTTTACAACTGACTCTTATCTGTTATCAATAAATAATATAGACAGAAATATTTCTCTTTCTATTTGATTAGATAAAAAAAGTTTTATTATCCAATAACAATAATAATAAACGTCGAAAGTCAGACGAATGGGTTCTTCTAAAACGTTGTCGTTTTGATTCAAATCAAAATAGTATGTTTATTTTATTTTAATCAAAAACAATCAAAAGTGTTTTTTTTTGCTTTTATCATTTTAGTACCTCCTGTTCAATCAATTTTACCCAATACATCAACAACAAATATAGATGAATCTGCTGCAACATCAGATGTATGATTTAATAATAGACAAAGAATATATATATATATATATTGAATTTTTTTTAATACCTAGTCTAATCAAGCATGTTCCTCAGCTAGTTCATTGGATAGTCATCTTGATGATTATGTTTTGTCTCAAAAACCAATATCAATAACTGGTTCTCGTCTAACTGATGAACAAATGGTAAGACGAATCACAACTAAAATGATCCGAGATAATCACTTATTGTTTCAATAAGGATCGTCTTGATCAATTTCTTCAACGTTTTAATGTTCATTATTCGGATGAAATTGATGAAAAAACTACACATTTAATAACGGATGATACAACAATTCCATTTGTTTGTGCATTATCATCGAAAGTTGTTCATGCATTAGCACGTCATTTAACTGTTTTATCAATACGTTGGATTGATGAATGTCTTCGTTGTGATAAACTTCTACTTGATGAATTATCATTACAATTTGAAATACGTGGTGATTTAACATGTTCAACAATGTATCATGGTGGTATGCAACGTTCACGTCTTATTACACGAAGACATTCATTATTCTCTAAACATATATTTATGCTTAAATGTTCTGGTGTACAAAATGTAAATATGAATATTTTCTTTTTTTTCGAAATAAGATAATCAATATTTTTATCTTCTTCTTCTTCTTCTTTTATTAATGATATTTTTTAAATTAGTTAATGGATAATCAAGAATTACGTACATTAATAACATTATGTGGTGGTCATACTTGTTCATCATTACGTACAGATCAAGTAACACGATGGACAGCACAAGGTAAAATGATTGTTGTTCTTTGTGAACAAACATATGTTCAAGAACGTCAAGATAAATATTGGAAATGTGTAGAATTAGGTATAAGATTTTGTTCACCTGAATTTATTATTGAATCAATTGCTCAATATCAAGTACAAGATTATGCTATTTATGAAGAAGAACCTCAACAAGATGATGAAGTAAATGATGAAGAATAGTAACTTAGAACAGAAACTATCTTTTACCTATCTTATTGTTTTTCTTTTTTGTTTGTTTTCGTTTATATTTAGTAAGCAGATTATGTGAAAAAAAACAAGTAACCGGTACTATTGAAACGATATATTTCTGTGTGTGTGTGTGTGTGTGTGCGTGTGTCAGATATGTTTTTCTTTTTCCCATTTTTTTTGTTAGTGGCTGTATGTCAGATGACTTTCTTCTTTTTTTGCTCCATATTTGTTCTTGTTATTGTTGTTATTTTGGAAAACAGTGCAAAAAAATAAAACAAGAATTCATCTCGGTGAAAATGAAACAGATAAATAAAAGATTCTATAGTATTTTTTATAAGAAAACAAACGCATTTAGATGTAAGATTAATCTCTTTCTCGTAGAGAAGAGTCCAGTAAAAACTAATTGTTTGCTTGCTTGTCTATCCGCGGGGTCAAAAAAACATCGAAAACTAATTTTCTGGAAAAGACATTTCTAGAGATATTTCGATGCGGGGAGTTCGAATCTGAAGTCTGTTGAGTGACCATGGTGAGGGGGCAAAGGTCAAAAAACATCGAAAACCTATTTTTCACGGTTTTCAATTGTTTTATTCAGTAAATGTGGGAGGATGCATTTCTACGAGAAAGAACTAAGCGAGTCCTCGGACGAACGTTACTTGTTGCTGGAAGGCTTATTGCCCTTCACCAACTGGCGATATTCGAGAATCCCTGTTGAAACTGAAGCTAGACAAAATTTTATTGTAGAATACTCCAAACTGATGCTCTGATCTAAACGTAAAACTTGCTCTTCATGCTTTCAAAATTTAAAAATTTTTGATACAAATTTAATGTGTAGTATTCTAGTTATGCGATTGAATAGCTAAAAACAACATTTTCTATATGGAACGTCGAAGAGAACTATCGACCATTAAGATATGTCAATTAATTCTTTTTTTCCAATATCATCTTTAGTATGCAACAAACATATAAGAAGGAAAATAAATAGATTAAACTTTCAATCCACAATCTAATAAATCATTCAATAAAAAATATTTTCCCTAAATAATTTTAAGCTAGTCGATAGGTGATTCAATCAATTGCAGACGAAGGTTATGAGTTACTTCTCTTTCTTGATTTATATCAATGGGGTCATGAACTTATAATAGCATGTTGACAGCTTGTAACATCATGGTTAATGACATAGATACTATTCATATTCAGCTGATACCCATACACTCATTTTAATAGGAATTTATTTAAAGAATAGACAAAATATAACATTATGAAAATATGTGGTCCATAATGGTACTTAGAAAAGACTGGTAGAACTGCATGAATGTTCTAGGTCATGATTTATTCGAATAGCTAGTTTATGAAAATATGCATATGAATTTACTTAGCTAAGATAAGAGATTAAAACGAACATGTTTTATATTACTGTCCGTGTCTAAGTTCAAATGAATTATCTATTAGATCGATTATAACATTTTGAATAATATAGTTCTTTCAAAGACACTAACAATAATTAAAAACAAATGAGAAAACTTGTTTCGCATTAGGAAAAAGACTTTTGTGATATATTTATTAGAACACAACTCTGACGCATGAAATTTATATATAAAAGCTAACCAAATAGATTGAATATTATACATCTACTACTGTAAGTCTGTATTCATCGTTAGATTATTATTAGAAATCAATAAAAAGAAACAAAATTAATTATTCTTTCGATCAAATACTAATCGGATGCAATATTTAAAAAAATGCATTCTTTTTTTCATCGGGAAAATCAATTACACATCGACATTATATCAGGATACTCAAATAAATCTTATGCAATTAGAAAAATACCATATAACTCTTGATAACTTGTTCTTTAGAATTAATCTCATCAACCTGACACTTGTACACTTTATCTAGACATATTTTTTGTCGAGCTACCAGATTTTCAATATCACAAACTAGTTTCTGGAATAGTAACTTACGATATTTCCTTGCCGAAGAAAAATACAAAAGTTGGATCTTATTTGAACTAATTCCACTTTATAGGATAATGTGCAAATAAATGAAAATGTATGAATTAATGATTTCTATAGATCATTATTGTTGTATCAATTTATTAACAGATTTTTATCTTATTATAAAAAATCAGTTACCATTCAACTTATCTTGAGCATAGCTACATATTCTCGTTAAGCATTTTTTCTTTTCAAAATAATAGTAATCGGAAAAAGTACAATTAATAAAATATGTGATCGCATGTAAACACACAATAATAGTTACTATTAGTTTTCACTCATCTAAATAAGAAAATAAAAATAAATAACAATTTTTGTATTATTTTGACTAAAATAATATCGTGTGGCTATTAATGGATTTATTAAATGATAAGGATAGAGATATGAACGAATAAAATACACAAACCAAAGTCGTCTATCAATCTTTAGCTAGTTTAAGTGCATTAGAAAGCATTTCAGTGGTAGCCAAATCATCTGGATGATCTTTTTGAGTCATTAAAATAGCTGCTTTCATTGCTGCTAACATTTGATTCGTTGACATATCCTCTGAATCTTGTTCATCATTTGACGATGCTTTTACTGCAAATTTTAATGCAGCAGCTAATGATTGTGGTGTAAGAGATTCCTGTTGTTCGTCTTCATTTGCTGAATTTTTCGCTACTTTTACTGCAGCATTAACAGTTGCTGGTGTTAATTTTTCTTGATGATCAGCTGACAATGCTGCTAGTTTGATAGCACTAGCTAGCATATTAGGTGTTAATTTTTCATCGTTTTCATTATCATTGGAAATTTTTGTTGCAGCTCGTAAAGCTGCTGACATAGCTTCGAACGGTGAATTTGTCTCGTTACTTGCCATTATTGTTCTTTTAGTAAAAAGAAAGAAAAATTGTTAACTAATAATACTTTTGAATAAATATATGCAAGAAATAAGAAAAGAAAAAGAATTTTTTCTTTGCTTTCTATTTTTTCTTCTTTAATAAAACACGTCAATAATAAAATGAAAGTTATATGATTTACAAGGCAACCAAAACAAGAAAAATATAACGTTGAACAAAGAATACTAATGTAATTTGACATGAGAAAGAAAAAGAATAATGAGTTTCTTTTTATTTTTAAAAACAAAATCGTATAATGTTTTTTGTAATCTAAATATTCTTTTCGAAGAAAATGACGATCATGGCACTTACAAATAGATACATGCGTCATAGACTAATTATAAACGAGTAACAAAAGACAAGCATTTGAATAAAAAGGGATACTTATAAATGATAGAATATCTCCGTTAGTTGGTTCATATTCTTGTATCATTGTGTTTCTCTCTAAATCCAGAATAAATCTGTTAAGATATCGGTTATTTTTAAAAACGACAATCTTTTTGATATATACATAGTTTATAATGTAGAAAAAAATACAGTATTTAACATATGAACGGTAATAATTTTCTGTGTGATATTTTATATCTACGATATATAATGTTGGTATTAATGAAAGCTATAGGTTTTCAGTGACAAATGATGTAACCGGTTGATGTTTTTTGTGGTTCGTCTAAGTTCATCGTAATTTTTTATCTTAGGAGGCAAGCAAAAAAAAAACTTATATTGGATCATCGTGTCATTTATCTTCATAGTGTCGTTATTGATAATAACATTGCATGAAAGTGAACCTTGAACCGATATTATTGATTTTTCCTTGTAAAAGATGTATGCTGTTACTTTCTGTCTCGTATGTACTCATAGAAATATTCATCTGTTGATATTCTTCCATAAAACTGATGATTCAATCGATTGGTATTAGCGTATTAACCTTGCAAGATTTTGTGACAGACAGGTGATTGATAGTCATTAGCATCAATTGTTTTCATTATCCTATCTTTATTTCTTTTACTTTTTTTTGTCCTATAGTCTTCATCACAATATCTATCGATACCTAGTTGAGAAAGACCTTCGACATATAGACACTGTAATAGAGAGTATGTTCAACTAGATACAATGCCATTATAAAGATGTACTATGACTCAATCAGATATTAGTATTACTAGTTCTTATTTTTTTTATATAGAACTCATTCATGCAGTCTAATCATATAGATTAATTTTAAAGCATAGAAACTACTGGATAGTAAGGAAACTTTTGTCACAATCGAAATGTCAAAAAACATCCTATAAGATGCCATTCAAGTAATAACATCTTATATTTTCTATGTTGTTGATGATAATAATTGCATTTGCTTCATCGACAGCCTATCTAATAATATTTTCGATTTATATACAACATATATATATATATTTATATATTCATATTGTTTTTGATCAAGATATTCATATTTGAACATACTATAAATTAATATAAGGTAAGAATTATAGTAATCCGTTTTGCTTCATATTTCTCGTCTATATCATGATATGTAACATCTTTTATGAGACAACAAGCAATCACAACCGACAAACGAAGGTTATATATATCAGAGAGAAGAGAAAGTGAACTTCTAAACAGACTAGTCCGCGCGTGTGTCGTCGGCGACCTTACTCGTTGATGTATGCATATGTCTCAATTAGCTAAAACCTTGATTTAACTCTAAGAATGATAGTAGTGTATAAATATTCATTCATTTGATACTAAAAGCATCACTTTTTTCTATTACAATTATTTTCTCTTCGTTATATCTGTCATACATAAGGTGCGTTCATAATAAATAATTCTCATGGTTAATATTGTCGTTCAAAAAAATATACATTCTGTACAAACGAATAGTAATGTAACATACTGTTATGTGTATATATTTATATCGATTAACTATTTTTATGATAAATCTACACGTATGCATACCAAACTGTTGTGCTCTTGTCAATATCACATAGGAGTATATTTAGCTTCTTTTTTTTTCTCTTTGATATTCAGAGTAGATATAGTACTTTTGTTGGTTACAGGTGAACTAATATTTTAGTTGTGGTAAAGAGGCATTAAGTATAAAGGAAATCTATTGATAGTAACTAATTAGAAATCGTATCCAATATGAAAGCCAGTGGATAATATCAGTCATGTGAAACGTTGAGAACGAGAAGCAAAAAAAAATGATCCGAGAATAGATATTTACGGACATTTTTTTTCTTCTGATTCTATCTAATTGACTTAACAATCCGTTTAATACTTATTTCTTTTCTTCTTGTATTATAGCAATAGACCGTCATAACATCTTATACAAATAAATCATATGAGTCAATAAGTTGAAAATTTTTTTTTCTCAGTTTATACTTCGAATGAGCTATTATTATTATTCAGTGAGTACAGTAACTTATATATATTTATATAGCGAATCGCATTGATAATTATTATTAATTATTTTTTTCTTCTCTCTCTCTCTATTTATGTTTTCTTTCTCGTAGTATTATTATCGGTTGGTAGAATACTTTCTTTTTTGTTGATAATATGTCTGTGTGCATATTATATATTATCAGATGAGAGAATGAAGACATAAAATTAGAATTCTTTTTTTCTTCTAGAATAAAATGAATAGTTTAAATGTAACAAGTACAGTTGAATCGTCAACAGTTTATTTTCATCGTTCATTAAAACGTTTCGGTATTGGTTATATGGCAATTTTAATTATACTTGGATTTATTGGAAATTCTATATCATCCTATGTTTTTATTCGAAGTAAACTTAAGTAAATATTTTCCGAAGCAAAAAAAAAGTCATTTCAAATTCTTATATTTTTTTTTCTTTTTTAGACGTTTAAGTTGTAGTTCATATTTAATAGCTTTATCTTTATCTGATAATGGTTATCTTATATGTTTAAGTATGATCTGGTTAGAAAATCTTCATTTATATATATTTCATAATAATGGGATTTGTCAAATCGCTGTTTATCTGACAACAGTTTTCAGTTCGTTATCTGTATGGTAAGTAAAATATTGATGTATCTAAGAACTTTTTAATGAGTAAATTATGTAGAAATGATTATTAACAACTAAAACTTGTTTACAACAAAACATTTCGTGTCAAATTTTCTGATTATACATAATGTGGTAATTATTAAGATATATCTTAAATATTTTTTATCACACATACTAGTAGGCGGAGAATATTTGTTATTGAAATGAAAATGATTATTGTATTTTCCAAAAAAATTCTACTAGTTTTATATGAAAAAATATCAATGGATTTAATATTTTACTTGTATTATCTAATCTATTATTACCCCATTAGCATATCTTTTTCTGCTTCAAGAATAAAAATAACGACATATATCTAATTATTTTTGATTTCCGTCATTGTAACATGATATTCTTTAATATATCTTAAACTTATTAGAACAGCAATTAGATTATATCGATAGACAAAAAAAAACTAATGGATCTAGTTGAACTGTAATGCGTAGGTATGTTTGAGTTCTTTAAATAGCTAACAAAAATACAGGATACATTTATGTTCTATTATGTCGAATAATTATATTTAATTTTCAGTTCGAGCGAAGAAGGATATGTTAAAAGCTCATTTATTTTTTTCCCTATGTACTCATGACTTAAAGATTTATTTTTACAAAAGAAATAATATGTGGAATTATTGCCTGTGAAAGGCAAATGCATGACTTATTATTTAGATTAATACGCATACATGCTTATATTTAATGTTAAAAGAAAATAAATTTAAAATTATAAATCCAGGATTTTCGGCTTAGTTAAAAGATAATTATAACCGTATAGGTTAAAGTACAACTAAATAATATAATTAGATTTTATTGCGTATTTTATTTATTGATAAGATCAAGATTATTTATAATGATAACAATAAAATTCTTTTCAGGTTTACTGTTGCATTTACAACTGAACGTTTTGTTGTTGTTGCATATCCATTAAAACGTCCTCAATACAATTCAACAAGTCGTGCTCGTTATGTTATTCTTCTTCTAACATTTCTAGCTATTCTTCTCTATTCATCATCATTATGGACATCAGGTATTGAAATGGCTGAATCTGAACGAACAACATCTCTGTATGAAACACGTTGTGTTACATTACGTCATTGGCTTAAATTTACACGTCAAATGAATATTATAGATTTTTTTCTAACATTTATTATCCCATTTTTTACAATTGTTACATTCAATACATTAATTATATTAAAATCTGGTCATTATGATCGTTTATTAGAACGTAATTATATTCAACCATCAACTTATATTTTACATAATTTATTAGAACATCGTTTACGTCGTTCAAAATATCATCGACGTATAACAAAAATGTTATTAATTATTTCAACAACATTTTTATTATTAAATACTCCAATGCATTTATTAAAAATTTATTATTTTTTCTTTTCAAATGATGATACATATGATGAGAAAAATTCGACTGAATCTATTATTGAAATGTTAACATTTTATTTATTTTATACAAATTTTTCAATAAATTTTTTTCTTTATTCATTATGTGGAAAAAATTTTCGTTCATCATTAATGGATTTAATAAAACATATTGGAAAAAATACTCAAACAACAAGTTTCTTTTCGAATGTTGCAGATAATCCATTAGGTCAATATTATCAACGTACACATCATTTTCATCATCATCAACGTTTTTCCAAACGTGAACTTAGTAGTACATTAAGTAATGGCAATGCATTTATGTCAACCTCAAATATAGCAGCAACAATGGCTACTGGTATTAGTTCACAAACATTACATCCATCATCATCAGCATCATCATTTCAAAGAAGTTCATTAAAAATTGAACTACATACACCAACAGTTGTCAAATTTTATCCAGCATTTACAACAATGAAATAACTAAAAAATAAATTTCTTTTATGTCTTCTCTATTTTTATGTACATAGAAAGAAAGTTTAAAAACGTTTAACGAATAAAGAAGACACACGTTTTACTATTGAAAAATTAATACTTAGTAAAATATTCTTCAGATTGTTTTATTGTTTCAATTCAAATGAACAAAGACATATATAGTTATATGAAGATGAATTCATAATAATTCCAAATATTGAAACAATCTTTTTGGAATATAAATTGATCGAAAATGATTACGATTTTAGTCTTGATTTTTTGGATGTTATTCAGTTAAAGAAAGGCATTCTTTGTTTTGATTATAGTCCCTGACTCTTTACTATGATTGATATAAGTCGCCAGATAACATAGAAAATTATCCAAACCCATTAAACAAGATTGATAAAATCTGATCTGTTCCTAATCAAAAATGATCTTTTACCACAAATAACAAAATTCATTTGTTTCATCATCAAAAAAATATTTTCCTGTTTTTCTTATCAATGTAGAATAGTGTCAATGACATAAGTCAATGTGGTAGTAATAGATCATACAACTAGCACTTATAACTATGACCCGATAAACATGATCATAGATTTTACTTAATGGAAAATGCTGTTCTGACAACGCAGTTTGTATTTAATTTGTGAGTTATATGAGAAAATGAGTATACGAAAGATGCGCATCTTTCGGGATCCCATTATATCTTTTTATGATACGGAATGAAAAATGAATTTATATTTCTTCTTTTTTTTATTATTCTAACAGATAAACAACAATCTATCAACTTTTTTTCTTTGTTAATGGAGTTATTTGTTGTTCAAGTTGTTTTTTAATAAGTTCAAATGGACTAGTAGAATATTCAGCTGATTGAGAAATCTTATTGAATATATCAATATTTGTTTGACTAAAATAAAAGAAAGAGTATAGAAATTTTTTTTAATGAAAATATTCATTTACCTTTGTCGGTTACGTTCAGCTTGTGAAAGAATTTGTTTACGAGTATTTTTCTTTGATGCATTTGCTAAACGTTGTTCTTCAAGATAGGATTCAATCTGACCAAGAGAATTTTCAAATTCATGTTTCATATCACTAACAATAACAGTTTTTCGACGTTCAGCTCGTTCTTTAGCTTCACATTTTGATTCATGAGCTGCAGTAAGACCTACAAAAATTAAGTAAACGAAAGTATTTATTCGAAACAAATGAATCCGTTCAAAGAAAACTCAGATTTTTATGCCTTGATACATCATATTTTATTAGAAGCTTAAGTAAACTAACGAATATATCTTTAGTGATATATTTTCATAATCATATGATGACTCAATTTCTGTTCTCGTAATACTCGGAATTGAATCGTATTTTTAATAATTCTATTACAATTCTATTCATGACTAGTAGACTCGATAGCTCACTTAGACAATCTTGATCGCGATCTTATTATAGTTGAATTACACTTAATCTTTATTCTTAAGTACAATTGATCGAATCATAACTCAGTGTCAAGAGACTTTACTTATGCAATAACTAAAAACAGTTATTTTTCAAGGTTTATCAAACTCTAATACAATTATAGTTGAAATATACTGATTCAGAGCATTATTTATATCTATGTTACTATAACATATTATGAGCTTTACACAAGCAAATGTACTCGTACCTTCTAGACAACATACTGAATTCATCTAGTTCTCGAACATTATACAGCACAAACATTTTTACATATTATTAAACTTACGTTTGAGAAGATATTGTCGTTTTAATTGAATTTTATCTTTTTTCTTTGATACAAGTGATTTAATAGTTTTATTAGATACTACACTACGTTTATCAAAATCAGGTTGATTATGTTCAGCTACTTCTTCATCATTATCATCATCCATTACCTATAAAAATTCAAATAAATGAAACAAATAAATTTCCAAATTTTGAACCTACTTGTTCATCATCATCATCTACTATATCCGGTACAATTTCAACCTCTTTTTTTGGTTTACTTTTAGTTTTTTCACGACGAATTTTACCCATAATTATCTAAAATACGGTAAAGAAAAGCAAAGGGACTATAAATTTATTTTCTTGAAAGCACGGGTATTCAAATATATGAAAAGTTATCAAATGTCAGATTATAACAAAGAGATACTATAAATAAATAATAAAAAGTTCTGTTCTTTTGCTTTGTTTGCGTTTTTTCATTTTACATAATTGAGCAAAAACGTTTTTGAGGATACATTTGATTTTCATCAACATCACCACCATCATAATTGCTAGGTAATTCAGGATGTGGACTTGGAAAAACACCACCAATATCAGGATTAATCGGTGTAGGAACTACTTCTTCTTCATCTGTTCCTAATAAACTGGACCATTCACCAAATAAACTATCAACATTTTCGTCTTGAAAGAAGACATCAGATTCCGTCTAAAATCATAAGAAATATTTAGATATATATAAAGAACGAGATTTTTGTGATCAATTAAAATTTATTTCTGTGGAACTCACAGGTATTTTACAAAGGAAAATAGTAAGTCGAGGTTTTGCGGCTCCCCTTTCCATCACAGACCTTAGCATCTGGCGTCTAACGTCATTGGGTACAGATCAATGTAGCCACTCATTTCGATGGCTTAAAATTGCTTAGTATCGCTAAGAATAAGCTGGAAGGCGTGAGTGTCACGTTAATATATCACCCACCTTCCAGAAAAGATCGTGGGAATAAATTTTAAATTCAAGTATTCATTACACTATTGCATAGTAAATTCTCTATAGTATCTGTGGAGGGGTTTTAAAGCTAATCAATACGTTTTCTTCCAGAAATAAAAGAAGGTCAAGGACTTCAAGATCATCGAGTGTCTTTGATACGAACATACGTGAATTCTATAGTTTTAGTCTCAAAGGAACTGCGCCGACAAGCTCTTCTTTAACAATAGATCTAGACTAGTACTTGTCAATGAACTCATAAATTACATATCGATGCATAGTAAATATTTCTCTCGGTATATTCATCTTAAACGAGAATATTCGTATGTCATTTTATATAGAAAACGGAGTAGATGCAGAATTTCGTTTTTTTCAGTTGAAAGAAACTTACCAATCCTTCTTTATCTTGATCAAGTTCTCTACAAAAAACAAGAAAACAAATTTTTATATTAAAGTAATAAAATTATTGAAATATTTACGCTTGATCTGCTTGTTTTTCAGTAAACATTCGTAAAAGAAATTTTCCTGGTTTATCACTATCAAATGTACTTGGAATAATAATATAAGAGCCAGGTGGTACACGAAAACGTTTTGTTACTTCTCGTCGATTAATATATGAACCACTTGCACCAACACGTTCAAGTTGAGTCATATAAAATTTTAAATTTCCTTGTTCAATGTTTTCTTGTACATCAACACCATCTTTGATCTATATATTACAAAAAAAAAGAGCGCGTATAGAATTTTTCATTGATATACATGAATAACGAAAGTTTATCACCATTATCAGAAAAATATGATCTACGAGATTTATATCCAATAATAGAAGAAATTCCATTATTAAGTAATAAAAAATTTCAACAAAAACTATCGAATGAAAATAATGAAATAGAAAATCATATTGATTTTATTCTTGTTTATGAAGAAGCATTATATGAAAATAATAATGATATGAATTCTTTTGAACGTGCACAAAAAGCGATGAGAAAAAATTTTGAAGCTAATTTACAACATTATGGATTAATATTAAATTATCAAAAAATTCCACTTAAATATCAACGACAACGAATTTTTGTTTTAATTACAACACCATTTGAAAAACTTCTTGAAATGTCAGAAATTACTCGTAAGTAAAAACAAAACCGAGATGTAAAACAAGTCGTCAATTGCATCTAGGTACTTATCTACCATTCGATCGTATCAATCCTATTCTACGTCGATTATTAACCTATCCAACATTAACTTATGGGATACCAAAAATATTTCTTCCAGATTCAATCGTATTTCAAGAAAATAGTCAACGATCTAGTTATATTTTTTATCCATATTCAAAACGATTACATCATAAATTTGCTCGTCATTTTAATTCACGAGATGGGATTTTTACTATCGGTAAAATTATTTGTCATTTTATTTTTTTTCTATGAAAATATATTTTATTAGCACAACGTACTCGTTTGACATTTGATATACTTTCACGTATGCCTTTATTACCACCATCATCAACAACGAAAAAATATCATTCAACAATAATTTCAAATGATTTAAAAATTTCTTATCCTAGTCATACAACATTTGAATCCTTAACAATTAATTTAACACCAACAAGACGAGTTAGTTTTAGTTCTATACCACATGATGATATAATTAATAATTTAAATGAATTTAATCGACATCCAATTGTTAAAATTCTTTCATCACATCAATATGCTTATGGAATAAATATACTTATTAAAATAGGAATATATTTAACTGCTTATCCTATACATGAAGAATATGAAAAAAAATCGAGTATTAATAAGAATGAATTTATCAATACAAGAGAATTACTTTATCTATATTGGGCACAAATAAAACATGTAAAATATTCTAATAAAAAAATTACATTTCATTATTTGTTATTCAGATTTTAGATATTTAAAATACAACCAATTGAACTTATACGTTCTTATTTTGGGGAAAATGTTGCACTCTATTTTGTCTATTTAGGGTGGTATACTTATATGCTTATATTACCATCAATTATTGGATGTATAGTCATGGGATATTCAATTATAAATGTATTTTTTGATATACCAACATTACAAACATGTCATGGTAAAAAAACTTATGATTTAAAACCCGTAGTGGCGGATCTAGGATTTTGAAAGAGAGGGGCGATACTTGTGTAGAGGGGGGGGGGCGATTTCGGCTAAAAACTATTTTTTGAATCCAATCGAGGTAATGTAAGCCCATTTTTTTTCATTTTTGCTGTAAAAAATCAAAACAAATTTCTGGAGGGGGCGACCGCGCCCATCACCTCCCCTCCTAAATCCACACCTTCAGGATGGTAACTCCTAAAATTATTTAAGAAGCCTATAGAAGTTTCTAATTACTAATACAAGCGAGATTTGTATTCTGGAAATAAGTATTGATTTTTAGATAGAAGGATTTTATAGAAAGTATTGTTCACTTATAATAACCTTTAACATCCTATACTAATATGCTGATTATTCTTAGATGTTAACATAAGTACGGAATATTTATGTCCTCAACGTACACGTAAAAAATATGTATCAATTGGTAATGAATGTCTAACGAAACGATTTAGTATTCTATTTGATAATTATTCTACTTATATGTTTGGTGTATTTATGATTTTTTGGATTCTTTGTTTACGACGTTTTTGGCAACGTTATTTAGCACGATTTCAATATCAATGGAGTGTTTGTAATTATTTCTCTTCTCGATCTAATATCTAACAGGAAAAAAAATCTTTGTTCATAGATGAAGATGAACGTCGTCATGAATTAACTCGATCATCATTTTTAATTCAATCAACACAAACAAATATTAATCGAATAAATGGTATTGAAGAACCCTATATCCCATTATCGATTATAATTCTCTGCCGTTGTCTTTCATTTCTTGTTTTATTAATATTTATTGGTTTATCAACATTAAATCTTATTTTAATGTTATATATTCGTTTAAAATTATTTCATATATTCCATTCGATTAAATTTGAATTAACTAAAGAAAATTCATTTATTATTATAAGTATTATAACATCAACAATATCATTGATAATAAGTGTAATACTTGGTTTTATATTTGGTTATATTGCTAATCGAATGACTGAATTTGAACGACATCGATATCAATCTGATTTTGATGCAAGTTTAACACTTAAATTATTTAGTAATTTTATATTGAATTGATTTCTTTTAAAATAATTTTGTTTTTGAAGTTTTTGCATTTGTTAATTATTATTCTGTTCCAATTTATATTGCATTTTTCAAACCATGGATATCATCATTACCAACAAATAAAGCGTCAGGTACACAATCATATTTTATTTTTACTGAAAAACTTGAACCATGTAATGATTTAACTGGATGTTCATATGAAATAAGTGTTATTTTATTGATTACACTTATTGGAAAACAATTAGTTAATTCAATTATTGAAATATTGGCAACAAAAATATTAAATTTTTTCAAATATTTGTATTATCATAGAAGAGAATTAGATAAGAAGACAAATATTCAATTACAAAAATCATTTACATCATTAACAGGTATTCAATAGATTTGTTTTCTAGACAATGTTAAGCAAAATAATCAATTATATAACAATATATTCTATATTAATAATATAGAAGGACGTGCCAGGGTGGCCGAGTGGTTAAGGCGTTGGACTTAAGATCCAATTCACAATAGTGAGCATGGGTTCGATCCCCATCCCTGGCAAATAACTTTTTTACTTCTCGTTCCGTTTTTTTTATAGACATTACTGATGACATCACCGAAGATGACGTCACTACAACAGAACGAGCATCATGGAAAACAGATATATATTTACAACGTCTTGGACGTTGGGAACTATATAATGAGTAAAAATTAAATATAAATTCGAATAAAAAAAATTATCTTGTATTTTTTTTGTTTAAAAAGATATATTGAAATAATGGTTCAATATGGTTTTATTGCAATGTTTTCCATCGCTTTACCAATCGCACCATTTTTAGCAATGATCAATAATTTATTTGAATTACGAACAGATGCTATGAAACTTTTATTCGAATTTCGTCGACCAATTGGTGAACTTGCTTATACACTTGGTATATGGGAAAAAATTTTTGATGCCTTATCAAAAATTGCAATATTAACTAATATACTTTATTTATTAATTACATGTGATTTAATATCAAAATTATTTTATATTTATATTCAAGATGATATTAGTTTAAAGAATTATCTTAATTATACATTATCATATTTATATTTAAATGATTTAGATGATGAAAATGAAATTTTTCAAGGAAATCAATTAAATATTACTTATTGTCGTTATCGAGATTTTAGATATGATTACGGTAGATTATCTTTTATTATAACTAAAGTTTATTACGAAAATAGGAGAAGTATAGTTTTAGACCTAATGAAGTTTTTCGCGTAATCGTTCTAGTGAATGACTCAGTGTACCTATCCTACAGCTAACAATCTTTCACACTCTAGAATCACCATATAAATATCAACCAACACCAATTTATTATCAAATTCAAGTAATTCAATGGTTATCTATATTTATTTTTCTTCTATTTACAATTATAATCTATTAGTATGTAATTCTATCTTTTTTTGTCCGGAAATTAAAACTTTTCTCTTTAGTCTATTTATGTTTTTTGTTAATGATAAAACGCGTTTAATTCGAGATATTCGTCAACAAGAAGAAATTCTTGCTGAACAAGAACTTTGGTCTGATCTAACATCAACAATATAAACTTCTTACTTTAAAAACACGAAATTGTACATAATCTTCACCTTCAAGACCTTCTATACGACGTTGTCGTGTTCCTTTTTGCATTAAAGCAATAATCATTGTACATAAATTTTCATCATCACCCTCATCAATAAAATTTAATCGAACTAAATATTGTGGATTTATCCAATATTTTTCTAAATAAAATAAATTATTTACGAAATATTTCATAATCAAATTAAACCTTTATTTGGTTGACCTGCACCACCTGCTGTTGAACCGGGTACCCATTCACCATGTAATAATTCTTCTTGCCATGTTAATTTATCATCCTAGGAATTTTTAAAACAAATTATTTATTTGTAAGTGAAGGTGATATTCAGTTATGAAAAACTATACAATACCCTAAATAAATTGTTCCATGAACAAACACCAGCATCATCTTCTGTTGTACCTAAGCTAGCTGGTCCTCGATGACAAATATGTAATTGATGAAAATTAGCATAGAAATCATCGAAACTAATCCAAAATTCTCCATCGTGTAATGCACGTACACCCAATTCTTGTTTTTCTTCATCACTGATAGCATCCCATGCTTCTGAACTACAAAAATGCATTATAATCAATTTGATTTTAATTTATTTTCTACATACTTATCTGAATATTTTCCATTCCTAAGAATTTGAAAAAAAAACGAAGATGTTATTTTAGTTTAAATACTTAAATTAACTAACCATTCAGTTTCATTTCCCCATGGATCTAAAAATATGAGAAAATAAATGTGAAGTAAAAATTTCTCAAGAGGAATTCACACCTACTTAAACATCGAATAAGCGTAATACTACCAGCATCAGTAGTAACATCAGCAACTCGTGTTATTGAATAAGCATGACCTGAATAATTCTACTATGTATAAATATTTTCGAAAAAATATTCAAACCTTTTACAAGACCATTTGAAAGTTTAGCTTCGGTTACTTTTGGATCAGCCTAAAATATACATGATAATAATAATTGTTTGTTTTTTTTCGAATTTCTATTACAGTAATCGAACATCCAAGCATTGATTTACGTAGATAAGCTTGCCAAAGAACACGTTTTATTTGTTCTTTGAAATCTGCTGTTGCTGCTGCTGTACTATTCAATTCAAATGCTTCTTCAATACCTCCAGTCATATCAATTAAAGCATCTGTAGTAAAACCACCTTCCATAGCTTCATATGAACCACACAATCTTAACAAAAAGAGAAAAAATTCGATATATTATTTAAAAAATCTTTTACTTTGCATAAGCTTTTTCTAATAATGGTGCCCACATTTCATTTTTATCTTTTTTATTACGACAAAATACAAGTCGTCCATCAGTATGAAATGGTAATTGATCATCAATAACAACATCATACCATTGACCATAAACCCAGAAACGAAAATGAAAAATTCCTTAAAGAAAAATAAAATTTCTTATTGAAAAGAATAAAATAAATTCTACCAGAATAATTATCCTCATCAAATGATTGATTAGCTGGAACAACACGTTGAAGAAGATCAGGATTAAGAGTTACAGCACCAGCACCAGCAATAAACCAACAATTACCTAAATAGAAATCATAGTTTAATTTAAAATGAAAAAACTTTCTCTCATTCTGATCAATACCGATTTCACCCTGATCAAGATCACCACGTTGATATCCATCGATAACGAATTGTGGTTTTTGATAAACTGTCTATGAACAAAGAAAATAATTTTTTTTTTTGGATTTTTAAAAATATTATTTATACCGTTGGTCTAAA